AGAATAAAGCCCAATTGGCAGCAGTGGTGGGGATTTGTTAGAGGGGCAGGGGTGGAGAGTTCACCTGAACAGCTCTGGTCAGTCATTCAGAGATCAAGACTGAGAGTGGCTCTGCCATTTTCAACACGGGGCTTGCAAGATTGCCCTGTGTGTTGACATCCAGAGTAAGGAAGTGTGGAAGACAGTACAAGAGGTTCTCGTGGACCACTTCTACCTATATTCTGTTGGCCATAACTCAGTCACATGACCTCACCTAGATGCAAAGAGGATGGGAATTGCAATCCCTCACCAGACAACTTCCCAGCAACAACACACACTATGAAAGGGAAACACACTTCTTGCAACTTTTGTCTCAGTTTGAGTTCCCCCAGAAAACAGACTCTTAAGACTTTTCAAGTGTCTTATTTGGTAAGTAAAGAAACACAGGTAAGAGGATGAGAAAGTGGGACAGGGAAAAGAAAGCATCCAAAGCACCTACTAACAAGTCAGTTACCTCTGGGAACCAGGGTAGAGAATCCCAATCAAGAAGCTTGCAAACAAGAGTCTGTGTACACCTGTCAGTCATGGGTCATAATCTCGCCCTCTAGCCTACTGTGTAGGTGGTAATTCAGACTCCTGACATCAGAGAATGCCTTTATGCAAAGAAAGACAGATGCGGGCAATTGGAAGTTTGCCAGTGTGCTTAAGCATTGAAGGGATATGTCTGGAACACTAAAGGTCTGCTATAGTTTTTGTCAGAATCTACTCTATGGTCTGGTGACATATGGACTAAAAAGACAAATTGCTTCCCCCTCCTCGCCCCTGCCCATTCACATACCTGATATGCAATGGTGGAGCAGGAACAGAACAACTATAATAAAACTCCCTTTCATAAAGGGGAGGAGTAGAGACCCATAGCTGTTGCTAGTCAGTATCAACTTTGAAGTCCTACCAGGCAGGTATTAGGTGGTTCCTCTGCCTGATTAGATTCAGATTCTGCTCTCTGAAAGTAGATTTTTGGTTCATTACACTCCAAGGTCTTTGGCATCTCGTTCCGGGAGGGTCTTCCTTCTCCATTATCTTCTCTAGCTACATCTGGATTGGGTATTGAGGAGTTTGTTCTCCTTGTGGGCTGTATGACTTTTCACCCATTTCCTATTGTGCAAGCTTGAAGACTGTGTCAAAGTTTGATTGCGTCAGATTTCTGGCTGCCTTCACAAAACAGTTATCTCAAAACCTTAGTATCCTTCACGTCTATTTGCTTCCAATCAGTTTCATGTGTTAGTCATCAACCTCGCACACCGGGCAAGGGGAAGGCCTGACTGATTAGCCTGGTGAAGATACATGAGACAATTTTAGATCATTTGTTACTTTCACAGATAGTAAAAAAGAATAAGCCAAAGGGGCCAGCTCCCCAGGTCCTTGTCCCATACACCAAAAGGGATGACACTGGAACAAAAGGGCTGAGGACCGTAACCTGAGTTGTGGGGAATCCCACCACCAAGGAGCCAAATCTAGACAGCAGCCAAGTAGTTCTGTTCTGAGGGGATGGGGCAGAAAGCCCCATACATCATCGGAATCTGGGAGGCATGGGAAACTAATCACAGCCTACTCAGGGAGGCAGGAAGGCAAGTGGGAGGTGGCCTCTGAGCTAGCAGCTCCTTAGAGCCCTCCCATCCTCTCATGTTCCAGCAGGATCACAAGGTGTTTGGATGAGGCACCATCAAATATGCTGCAATTCCAAACCCTTCCCTATACGCATATGTGCAAGCTTGCCAGGAAGTCATGGCAGAGCTCTCCCTACAGTAGTAGCCACACACACAGTTCTCCCCTAGACTAATTTTTAAGCTGATTGTTATCTTGGCCACACAGCTCTCTCTCTCTCTCTCTCTGTTAATGGTGCCTATCCAGCTTGGGTGGAACAACCATATTCTCAACTAGATCTTTCCCACATGGATAGGTTGTAATGGACATTTGTTGTGCAAAACCCCTCTCAGGTTTATCTCTTGTTTTTAGGGCCTGGATATAAGCAGCCTTTCTAACCTTGCAAAACCCTTTTATTTTTTGCATACAAACAAGCCAATTCTTCTCTGAGTTTGTCTCTTTCTTATAGTACCTAATTAAATGCAGCCAGTAGCAACATGTGCCACTAACATTCCATTTTATTTCCTTTTCCCTGCACCTCGGTAGACTCAATATGCTATGCTTTACTTTGTAGGTTACCTAATACAATTTAAACAAATGTTTTGCCATTGCAAAGATGATTTCTGCAGCAATAAAGATCATTTACTAATCTCATTTTTAAAAAATATTTTATTTATTTATCAGAGAGAGAGAAAGTACAAGCAGGGGGAGTGGCAGGCAGGGGGAGAAGCAGGCTCCCCGCTGAGCAAAGAGCCCAATGCAGGGCTAGATCCCAGTGGGATCATGACCTGAGCTGAAGGCAGATGCTTAACAGACTAAGCCACTCAGGTGTCCCACTAATCTCATTTTTAAGTTATAATCCCTACATTTATCCATTTACAGCACTAGAAACTTAAATATAAAACCCTATCAAAAAAATACATACTTTTAGGGGCGCCTGGGTGGCTCAGGCGTTAAGCGTCTGCCTTTGGCTCAGGTCATGATCCCCGGGTCTTGGGATCGAGCCCCGCATCGGGCTCCCTGCTCCGCGGAAAGCCTACTTCTCCCTCTCCCACTCCCCCTGCTTGTATTCCCTCTCTCGCTGTGTCTCTCTCTGTCAAATAAATAAAGTCTTAAAAAAAAATACATACTTTTAGTTCATTTTTTAATTTTCAGAAATCTTATCTATGTAACAAAATATAACAAGAAATACTCATATTCCCTCCATCCATATTTTAAAAGTAACTATTTTGTCATATTTGTTTCTTGTGTTATTTCATTCTACAAACAGTTAAATATCAAGTTCCTTTTAATCCTACTCCAAGCAGAGTCTGGAGTGTCTGACTGTAGATGACAGAAGTGCCAAAGAAACAAGAAGGTGACCCTAAATGCCAGAGAAGTGAAGGGAAAGTTAATTCTGAACCCCATCTTCTGAGGCAACTGCCTGCGGGGGAAATCACAGCCATTCCCCATTTTCACCAAAACCTTCATGGACCACAACCCATATCACCACTTTCAACCTTTCCTCGGAGATGCTGTTCAGGCAAACTTCTATGTGCATCAGAATCAGCTGGAGGGCTTATTAAAATAGAACGCCAGGACCCACATGCAGAATTCCTGACTCGGCAGGTCTGAGATTAGGCCCAAGAATTTTCATTTCCAACAAATTCCTAGTTGATGCTGATGCAGCCGGTCCTGGCGCTACACTAGATTGAGAAACACTGCTCTGTTTTCCAAGATTAGGTACTTCAGGAACAGATACAGATGGGAGAACTTGTCACCTGGTCTATTCTAAAGACAAGATCGACTCCTCCGCTATTAAAATCAGCTGGCTGAAAGCTAAAAGGTCGAGTTCATTTCCCCCCTCCTCTTCATTAGAGCATCTATGACTCTCCTCCTATAGTGAAGCCTCCACTTGGCCCAGAAGTGTCAGAAGTGGGCTCCTGCCTCCTGGTGCAGAGAAGGGCAGGCAGCATATGACAAGGAGTAAGGTGGTGCGTCAGGAAGGGCAAGGGGTTTCCGGTCACACCACCTCTTCTCAAGCCCAGGTACAGCCACTCCCTGGCTGTGTGGCCCTGGGCCTCACTTTCCCCATCTACACAACATGGGATAATGATGCCCACATCCTAGAGGATTGCTGAGGAGAGTAAACGGGAATAGTGCAAGCAGGAGTCCTTTGTTGCCGGTAAAGAACCCCACAAACAGCAATTATCACCACAGCTTCATGACAGATTTGCTCTTTAACAATAAGCTGTAGTGGTGATAGCTCATCCTCCTTCTTGCTGTTTTTTTGTTTGTTTGTTTTGTTTTGTTTACAACTCTAGTAACTTTGCTTCATTTTGAAGACTCTCCTCACCCTCTCCCCAATGATGGCCTTTACCTTTGAGCCCCAGTGTTACTGATTCTGACTCACCTACCACAGGTGTATTTACACACGTAGACCCATCCTTAGGCACTAAAAAGAAAAACAATCGGGATACATGGCATTAAACTCTCATATTACTCAATCCAAAGTCATGAGCTTCTCAATCTCAAGAGTGAGGAATAAAATAAGAAACACCAGCTAAGAAGTTTGTCACTGGTTATCAACAAGCCAAGATTCTGCAGGCCCATTTAACTCCTCTCTCCCTGAACTTTGCCATTTGAATATTAGGTTCCACCCCAGAATCTCCCCAGCATTCAGGGAGTTACAGAGAAAGAAAATGAGATGCCCTTTGAAGAGGGGCAGAGACCACTAAAGATCTTGACAAAGATCTCTTGCATTGGCTATGTGATTCAAGTCATCCTGACATCTTTCTTCCCTCAGACCATTTGGCTGTGGTAGGTGGTGCTCACATTCCTGCTACATTGGAGGGAAAAGGACCCTGTCTGTGGGTTCAAAAAGACTTCGATGTAGTTCTAATTCTACCATTTAAAGTGTGACCTCACATCATTTAACTTATCGAAGCCTCCGTTTTCATATCTGTAAAACAGAAATACTACTATTTCCTCATAGAGTTGTTTGGGGCAATAATATATGGTTTCTCACGCACTGCCTGGCATATGGTAGGTGTGAAATACTGATGGAGGAAACCTAATTTTCCCCGGGGGCTTTATTTTTCGATGTGTTAGGATCTCCTCTAAGGTACTCCTGGCCTGCTGCCCCATCCCCTGGGCCGTCAGCACTTGGCCAACTCTCAGCGGAGCCAAGGCACCCACTTCAAAGCCCTAAACCCCGGTAACCCCTAAGCCAGCTGGCAATAACGCCTCTCCCACCGCCACCAGCACCACCTTTGACATCTCGGTCCTCCTCCCGCCGCTGCGGATGGCGTCACTTCCGCAGGAAGAGGCGGGCGCGTCCTCGCGGTTGGCGCGAAAGTCGGTTCGCCGCCTCGGCAATTTCCGGGTTCGGCGTTTGCTTCGGGTCGGGGGCGCCGCCGACTGCGGCGGGTGTGCGCCGGGCTGGCGCCCGACCCCAGCCACGGTCCTGCAGGCCGCGCGCCCCTCCAGTCGCCTCCCAAAGACCCCCCCAGGCTCCACCGAGGTGAGCGAGACATGGAGAGAGGACCCAGCTCCCTCCCCACCCCAGTTGGGGGGCCGCGACACCTCCGCTGGCCTTCGGGGCCCTTGTTTCCCGCCCGTGTAACCGGCCCTCGGACCGGCAGGTGGGACTTTGACGCCGGAGAGGACGTGGCTGCGGTTGGACCGAGAGCCTGGCCTTTCTGTGGCCGCTGGCAAGCAAGAGCTTTCGGCCTCTGGGGGCGTGACCTTGCTAACCGGCTTCCATTTCTGAAGTCCGTTTACTGAGGGGTGAACAAACGTCAAGGGCCCTGGACAGTTTCATTATGTGTATCCTTAAACTAAGTGCAATTGAATGCCCATTGGCTTAGGGGTCTAGAGCCTCCTAACAAAGGCCCTGAACGTAGTCAGTTTAGAGACATTAATTTCGTTCTCTGATTTGCAAGGATTGGTGTTGTCATCTTTTTCCTTGACTTTGCCCACATTCCAGAGTTTCTTAGAAACTAATGAACGAATTCACGGGCAAGGCCAGAATGTCTATCTTTGGGCATTGTTGTCTGCACGGAAAAATATCTGCTTTTAACATTTAACTTCATACATGATGTGCTTTTGTCCTTGTTAATGGTTCTTTTATTTTGACAGTTCAAAAATGTCCAGAAATGACAAAGAACCGTTTCTTGTGAAGTTTTTAAAGTCTTCAGACAACTCCGAATGTTTTTTTAAAGCTCTTGAGGTAAGAATAGTTGAAAATGCCTTGTTTGATGCTGTGAATTCATTTTCTTGTTTTTAGTGTTTATGATTTGTTGGACTTTTTATGTTTTAATAATTTATTTTTATACTAGTTTTATTGTAGTGTACATTAATATAGATGTTACATATTTTTGGATTGATGTAAATATATGATTATGTATTTCAGGGAACATGAAATCTATTACTTTAAGATTTTATTTATTTGACAGAGAGTGATAGGAGAGAGAGGTTGCCAAAGTCACCAAGGCATGACTGATTAAAGATTTACACAGTAGGGGCGCCTGGGTGGTTCAGTCGTTAAGCGTCTGCCTTCGGCTCAGGTCATGATCCCAGCGTCC